AAACCAGCCAATCAGAAAGCCCCAACCAGGCCAGCGAATCAGACATCAAGGAGCAGCCAGAGAACGGTGACACACACACACACCTACACACACAGACACACACACACACCTACACACACACACACACACACACCTACACATACACACACACACCTACACACACACCTACACACACACACACCCACACACCTACACACACACACAGACACACTTGTGAGCCAGTCTGAATTTGATCTCACATATTCCCTAGCAGTTGTGTGTGTGTGTGTGTATGTGTAGGTGTGTGTGTGTGTGTGTAGGTGTGTGTGTGTAGGTGTGTTGGTCCGTGACCGCTGCTCCGTTACATTTTCTCAGACAAACTATAGAGCCGACAGCTGCTAATAGCCCCGCCCACTCCCACTGATAGCCCCGCCCATTGCCACTGATAGCCCCGCCCACTCCCACTGATAGCCCCGCCCACTACCACTCATATCTCTGCCCACTGTGTAGTAATTAATGGGTGGACTGAATTAAAAATGTTATGTATTTAATTTCAGGGTCTAATTAATAAATTACATTTTAATCAAACTATGTATCAACAAAATAAACAAAATTTTTAATCCCAAAGCCTTTTTGCTTCTAAGTTATTGAGTAAAGTTTAGAGCCGAATTTCAGGTTCTCCATCAGATCGCAGCAAAGTGTTTTTCTTTCCATTCATCTTTTCAGAGATTTTAGGATCATTTATGGAGGACGCTGACATTAGCATTAGCTGCTACATGTTTAGCTTTCAGACGCTGCTTTGAACTAGCGTAGCTCCTGATAGGCTAACTGCTTTTAGCAGCAGTAGTTTTGGACATTACGAAGCCTCTTGCATCTCTGTTAGCGGTTAGCTGTGCGTCAGATATACGGGAGTACCAGAAACAAATGCAGAGGTTCCAGCCTTGGACTTTTGTTTGTTAAAAAGAAGAAAATATGATCATTACTGTGCCATAGCCTGATTCACTTGCATCACAAAAGTGATGCAGTTCAGCAGCTTCCACAAGATCAAAGTTTTCAGCCTTTATGTATCTCACAACTTGAAAGTAGCAGATTTAACTCCTTGAGCCATCTGGACATGAGCCCATCCATCCTTGGATTTTCAGAGTTCCTGGAGTATTTGTTTGGCTTTCAGGGTGAAGGACAAAGATATCCTGATGGGTCGTGTGCTGAAGTCACTGCAGAGAGTTGAGCTCTTCTGGTAGCAGTGACTCCTGATGGTCACTGTAAAGCTGAAGGTATCACTGAGTATCCCAGTGGAGTCCAAGTGCAGACTCAACCGTTATTTGTTCTTTATCCAGATCTAGTTCCTTTTATGCTCCAGCTCTGTGATGTTCCGGGACACTTGCCAGGATTTCATGGATGCCATTGACCCATTTTGTTCATGTTGCATGTTTTGGTGGGATCTGTGACAAGCTTCATTGTCTGGTTCACTGTTGCCACTGATCAGAGGCAATCATCCACATAAAAGTTACTTTTAATAGTTTTGATAACTTCATCTGAATAATGCTTCTGGTTGTCAGTAGCAGTTTGATGCAGAGCAAAATTAGCAATGCTTGGGGCTGATACAGCTTTGATCCGGTAAACCTCCAGAGGTTTGTTATTGTTCCCTTCTGGCCAGAAACCCTCAGGAAGTCTCTGTCTTTTCCTCCACATAGAGTTGATCAAATGTCTGCAATAACTGCGACTGGTTCTTGGCGAAACCCTGTTAAATCTGGGGTCCTGATTTAACAGGACCCCAGATTGTTAAATGAGGATCTTGTTCAGAGAGGATGTACCAGACATCACCATCCTCCCTGCAAAGCTGCTCAGATGGAACCTTTTCTGCAAAGCCCTTTTTCAAAATGTCCTCCATGAAGGATGTGTTTTCTTCTGCTTACGATGTATCCTTCTTACATATTTTCATAAGGTGCAGTGTGCGTTCCTTAACCATTTTATAGTTATCAGGCCAAACTTTGTCTTTATTTCTGAAAGGAAGTGGTAGGTGATAGTGTCCATCTTCAATAGATGATGAACCAGAAACAATCTCCAGAAAACATTTATCCTCTCATTTTTCTCGTCATGCATGTTCTCAGAGAAATCCTGGTTATGCTGTCTGATAATCAGATCCTTCAATTTTTCCATGTTTAAACATCTCCAATAGGCTCAGCATATTCTGTTGCACTATCAGCACCAAGTGGTCCACCAAGTGGTGGCTGCGCAAGACAGTGCCCAAACTTTAGACGAGAAGATAAAACAAGCTAATATCATTGCAGTGCCTGCGGCACTGCATTAGCCACAGACGAATCTTAAGACTTTTATTTTGAAATTTTCATTGAACTTCATTTTAAATGGCCAATCTAATCCCATGTGTAATGATTTTTGGGTAAAATCAGACATTTTTGGGTAAAATCAGACATCAGGTCAAAAGAGCACTTAATTGATGGAAAAATTGTCAAGGCTTTTATTTTGAAAAATTTTTAAAGATTAATTTAAAATGTCCACACTAATTCCATGTGTAACAATGGTTGGTCAAAAAGAGTTATAAAAGGCCCAAAACACAAGCAGTTCTAAAGTCCAGCTTTTGCCTCTGAGTTCTGCAATAGTTAGAACTACAGTGATGCAGTTTTGTAGTCCTAATCATCTGGCCCTGCTGTGTTCCATTGCTATGGTAATGGATCCTCTGCAGGCTGTGAGTCAGACAGGGGGAGACATAATTATATCAGTTTGAGGCAGCCATTTTCACTAAAATAGGCATGAGCCAGAAAGGAGTCTTGAGGCTTTTATTTTGAAATTTTCAGTAAGCTTCATTTTAACTGTCCAAAATAATCCAAAGTGTAACAGTGGTTTTGTTTAAAAAGTCACATAATCCCCAAGAGAGCAATTCCATAATATAAAAGAATGTCGGGGCTTTTATTTTGAAATTTTAATTCAACTTAATTTAAAATGACCACACTAATCCTGTGTGTAACAATGGTTGGATAAAATCAGTTATAAAATGCCCAAAACACAAATAGTTCTAAAGGCCAACAGCTTCCTCAGAGCTCTGCCATAATAAAAACTACAGTGATGCGTTTTTGTAGTCCTAACCACTGGCCCTGCTGTGCTCCATTGCTATGGTAATGGATCCTCTGCCAGCTGTGAGTCAGACAGGTGGAGACATAATTCTATCAGTTTGAGGCAGCCATTTTCACTAAAATAGGCATGAGCCAGAAAGGAAGCTTAAGGCTTTTATTTTGAAATTTTCAGTAAGCCTCGTTTAAATGTCCAATCTATTCACATGAGTAACAGTGATTGTGTTAAATCAGTTCTAAAATGCTCCAAACAGCAATTGATATAAAAATTGTAAAGGCTTTTATTTTGAAATTTTTATTAAGCTTACTTTCATTAAGATTAATTAAACTTAATTAACATTAATCCCATGTGTAGCAAAGGTTGGTTAAAATAAGTTATAAAATGCCCAAAACACAAGTAGTTCTACAGGCCAGCTCCTTCCTCAGAGCTCTGCCATAGTAAAAACTACAGTGATGCGTATTTGTAGTTCTAATTTATAATTCTAAAGGCCAGCTCCTTCCTCAGAGCTCTGCCATAGTAAAAACTACAGTGATGCGTTTTTGTAGTTCTAATTTATAATTCTAAAGGCCAGCTCCTTCCTCAGAGCTCTGCCATAGTAAAAACTACAGTGATGCGTTTTTGTAGTTCTAATTTATAATTCTAAAGGCCAGCTCCTTCCTCAGAGCTCTGCCATAGTAAAAACTACAGTGATGCGTTTTTGTAGTTCTAATTTATAATTCTAAAGGCCAGCTCCTTCCTCAGAGCTCTGCCATAGTAAAAACTACAGTGATGCGTATTTGTAGTTCTAATTAGCTGCTCGGCCCTGCTGTGCTTCGTTGCTATGGTAATTAATCCTCTGCAACTGTCATGTGTGTGAGACAGAAAGAATTCTATCTTTGTGAGACACCCAGTCAGTTTTCACTGAAAAAAGTGGTCCGAACAACTCCTTCCCATTCGGAAACCGTGATACGTATCGGAAAACCGTTTGAAGCGTATGAGAGGGCTACCTTTCGTCTCTGATAGTCCCGCAATTCATATCTGTACATCACTCACAGTAATAACAGCGACGAGATAAAAATGGTGTGCGTGGAGGTCTGACATTTTTCAGAAATACATGGAAGTGATCCTGGCTGAGCGAGTCGAAATCCTGTCGCATCACTTTGCTATGAAGCACCTAGACAGAAAACCATAAGCCCTAGGAAAATTGTGAAAACATTTTACCGGAGCAGGCATGCGTATCTATGTCATGACCGAGTTTCATACCGATAGGGCGATATTTGTGGTCATGACGGCGATTTCAAAATGTATTTGGGGTCAGAATCGCAGTGCTTCCCACACTCTAACGAAACGTTGATTACACTCTAGTTTGGGCAGTTTCTAACTGACAAAAATTTTTGATGGTTTTTCGCTTTTTACTTTTTTATTGTAACTCCGAATCCCACCAAAAGTAATAGCTCCAATGCCGGTGCCGAGCCGCACGATTTGATACCACTATTGTGGGTGGGCTCGCAGCGGTACGAGCCGCATTAACGGTCACGGATGAAGAAGTTATAATAACTAGAAAATTCCTGAAGAAATTTAACCGCGGCCTGCCAAAGTGTGCCCGTCGGTTTGGACCCAGCGTTCTGATGCTAAACATTAGCATCCATGCTAAAGAAAGCTGCAATGTCATCAATACAATGTGGAGAGTCACAAGCATGACTTACTGCATTCAGTATACTAAATATGGGTAATAAGAAAGGGAATTAGGTAATATCTCATGCAAGGTAAAAGGCTAATGCTAATGCTCTGCCTTGCTGCGCAAGGCAGAGCCCTAACCTGAGTGGAAAAGATTATTCAGGATAATCTTATTGCACTGCCTGTGGCAGTGCACTGGTGGGGAACACAGAAATGTTAATGTTTGTGCTAATGCTAATGCACTGTCTTGCTTCGCAAGACAGTGCCCTAACTTGAGAGGAAAAGATAATGCAAGCTAATATCTTTGCAGCGCCCGCGGCGCTGCATTAGCCACGGCCGAA